TGATTTAATTATTTTTTTATATTAGTTAAGTGAATGAATAATTATTCTCTCAGGTGAGAGCGTATTCCTTTCTTTCCGGTGAGAACTTTCAGTAGATTTTTGTGGCTGGGTTGAGGTTTTTTAGGGTTAGGGCAAAATGGGGGATTTTGGGGGTAAAAGAGAAAAAATTGATCTGGAGAGTAGATTGAGGAACTTTTCTTTATCTGCTAAGGAGGGGGCTGTTATCGATATAGCGGAGGCGAACATCAAAGTGAGTGAGGAGGAGTGTCAACGTAGCCTATTCGTAAAAACTGTGGGAGACCGTCGTGCCAGTTGGATAGGAGTGAAGAAAACGATGAACCGATTTTAGAAACTTCAGCAACCAACGAAGGTTAAAGAGATCGGCCATAATTTCTTCAAGTTCATTTTTCAGAGCAAAGACGATTTGAAGGAGGAGGCGGCTGGAATAAATTGGAGTTTTGAGAATCAATTTATCATCTTACAGAAGTGGCGCCCAGGACTCACCAAAGATCATCCGGGTTTCCAGGAGTTGAGTATTTGTATGCAGGTACTCAATGTCTCTATCAGTTGGCTAAGTACAAAAGTTGGGCTGAAAATAGGATAAATCTTCCAAAAATTCAAAAATGTTTCTGTTGTCAATGTTGGTTCACATGGACATAGGTCAATTAGACTTCAGGTTGTGATCAATTTGAAAGAGGCACTCCCTCGTTGTACTTACATAAGATTGGGGGAACAATTGGTTTGTGTCAATTTCAAGTATGAGAAACTGGTTAACTATGTTACTACTATGGGAGGATAGGGCATTTGGGGAGTGAATGAAAGCGGTTGAGGGACAAAATTGGTTGGAAATTAGCAACTCAGAAACCATAAGTACTACTCAATCTGAAAAGTATCAACAGGAGGTTCAAAATAATTGGGCCAAAGCATCCACAAGTAATAATGGGACAAGTAATTAACTGATTCAGATTCCAGAAGGAGGGGGGAAAGAGAAGAGATTTGAGGAAGGAGGATCACAAGTAGTGAAAGAGGGGTTAAAGGAGATCAATGTTCAATTAACAGAAGGCCAAGTCATAGTCAGATCTCCCTCTCAAGATGTTTTTGAGGAATCAGTCCATCAGCTACAAGTAGGGAAAAAGAAAGAGAGATGGAGGAGGACAGGGCAAAGGACACTAAGGTGGATCTTCAAATGGTTGAGAATGAGCAACAGAGAATTATATCTAGCAAAGGGCGCACCTGGAAAAGAGTTGGCTCAAAAGAAGGCAGGTTGATAGGAAAGATCAGAAATCATGTGAAGAAGGGAAAGCGAAACTGTCACAAACTATAGAATGCAAAAGAAACAAACCAGAAACAGAGGCTCAAATTGAGGAGGAAGGAGTATCTCTGAAAGTGAAAGCAGGAGTGAAGAAAACTAAGACTGTTTTGGAAGTGGTGGGGGTTGCCAGCCTAGATTGGGCACCAAGGTGACAAATGAATATAGCGGTGTGGAATTGTAGAGGGCTGGGTGGGCTTTCTACAGTTTCCCAAATCAAAGAGTCTTTTAGGACTCACCACCCAACTTCTTTTTCAGTCAGAAACTAAAAATTCCAAAAATTTTATGTTAATTGTAAGCAAGAAACTGGGATATAGGGAGAGGTCAGCTATGGTGGAACCTAATGGGTTAAAAGAAGGCCTGTTGTTATTATGGGAAAGGGAAATAGAAGTTTTACAGATTATTAGTAAAGACTTTTGTATGGAAGTGGAATTCAGAACTACTCAAGAAAAGAGTACCTGGGGAGTTTTTGTTTACATGAGTACTAATAGGGGAGAAAGGGGAGTTTAGTGGAGGACTCCAGAGAAGTAGTCAAAATTGGGGAGAGAACTGGTTCATAGCAGGGGATTGGAATGACTTATGTTGTCAAGAGGAGAAGATAGGGGGTAGAGTCAGAGGTCAGTGGAGTTTCAGATGTTTCAAAGATTTTATAGCTAATATGGGAATGGAAGAAATTGGAATGAACGGATACCAGTTTATATGGGGTAATAATAGGGGGGATGAAAGTTATATGGAGGAGAAATTCGATAGAGTATTTGCTTCTATTGACTGGTATAGGCTCTATCCAACTGCTTTCACTATGAATGTGATGAGAAGTGCTTCTTACCATTCCTTAATTTTATTAGACATAAGGGAGGTTAAGGAAAAGAAGAAAAAGAGATTTCACTTTGATTGAAGATGGCTGAAAAAGGATGGCAGAGAGGAAATTGTTAAAAATGTGTGGAATGCTGCTTAGATAGGTACTCTAANAAGGTGAGGGCCTTTTTCGAGCACTAGGCAGGTCACTCACTCTCCTTCCTACAGGTGAAGGACCTGTGGACTGATGGGGCGTGGGATAGGAACAAGTTAGAGAGGGTTTTGGGTACTAGAGTGGGTTTTAGTGACCAGTTTTTAGATCACATCCAGCAGATTGCCATCTCGGAAGACGGTTCAGATGGTATGAGGTGAGACTTACATCTTTGGGTGCATTTTCTACGACCTCAGCTTGGGGGGAAGTACGGCAAGGTGACAAGCCTAACCTTTTCTTCGGGACCATTTGGACCGACCTGCTTACCCGAACCATCTTTGTCTTCCTTTAGAGAATGAACAGGTTGATCGACTTTTATGTGCTCTCACATTGTTTTACAGGTTGATCGACATCTCTCTCTCCTCACAGCTCCGGTACACTCACACTTAGAGAATGAACAGGTTGCACGCTGCCCCACCGCTTCGTATTATCTCTGGTGCCGTCTGTCCAGCTCCCACGCCCCAGAGTCGTTGTTTGACTGAGACTCGACTCCCCTTGGGTTAAGCTAAACACTGATGGATCTTTTGACCAATTTACTGGAGCCACGGGAGGCGAGGGTCTGATTAGGGATCACAACGGAGCTCTCATTACCGCCTTCTACGCCCCTCTTTAGGCCTCTTCAAGCTACGACGTGGAGGTTCAGACACTTCAAATCAGTCTTCAGATTGCAGCCTCTATCTCTTTTCACATTTGGATAGAGCTGGACGCTGCCGCTGTCGCCACCCTCTTGACCTCAGGCCACCAGGGCTCGTGGCAGCTTCAGCATCTGCTGGAGAATGTCTGATTGGAGATGGTCTTCTTTGTCGGGGAGGTGGAGGTGCTCGTCTCTGATCCAGGTCTCGCAATGGTCTTGGCACTTGGACGGAGTGGTGGACGGCCAAATCCCAGAATTTTTTGCATTGGCGGTCCTCCGTCCTTTCTTCAGATGCGAGTTGCGGCTCTTTTTTCTCCTATTGGGTGTTTGGGGTGGAGGGTTTTGACCCTTCCACCATGGTCTTCTTCGGCTCTGGTGCTTGGTAGAGGGGACTACCGATGTCGTGGGCCGAGGCCTGGTGTTATGTTGTCGGGAACTGGTCGTTGGTGTCGGGCCAGGTGCCAGCTCTCTCAGTGTGGGTTGGGATGCTCACCTGGATTGGAGTTGGGCATGTTAGTGTTGGACAAAGTAAGGCGTTCTCTTGCAGTTTTGTAGTCGGATTCCTGGGTCGCGTTGTCCGTATGGATGTATATTTGGTGGTGTCGCTGTCGTTTCGCCTTGTGTGAATTCCTGTGGCGGGAAAGATTGTTGTAGCTGTAGTTCTGTTTTTGTGTTTTCCTTGGGTTTAGGTTGTGTTTTATTTTTCTATCCCATTGGGAGTGCGGTTGGTGCATTCTCCACTTGTGGGAACTTTTGTTAGTCTCCTTAGATTCAGCGGTTTAGCTTTTTTATTTGGTTGCGTGGCTGATTATTCAACTAAGTGGCTGATATATAGTCTTGTTTGTTATGTGAATATATGTGATTCCTATCGTTTTGAAAAAAAGTACTACGATAGTGGAGTTGGTTTAACGTTGAGTTAAACAAAAAAGTGTGACTGAGTTAAAAATGATTGGTTATTTTAGATCAAATTCATATCCAATCACACTCTCAAAGTTTTTTAAAATCTCAAACGATTATCTGCAAAATTTTGAAAGTCAAAAAGTCCAAGTTAAATAAACATAATTTCAAAATTTCAAAAGTTTTTAAGGTTTTCGTACAAAAATACAACCCTTCAACAAAAAACAAACTATCAATCCCCAACAGAGACTACAACTCTTCACATCAAAATCTACAAATTTCAAAGTGCAAAATAACAAACACAAAACAAACAAAAATCACGACACAGGAAAAATAATATTAACAGTAATACATAAAATAAAGGCATCTCCCTTCAAAAATACTTACAACCACGATGAGCCTCACAAACTCTACATCACCAACAACCATCATAGCAAGGCAAGATCGCTAACAACTTCAACTACCAATTAACTGCAAGATTCACACCTAGCCCTACAGTGAAAAGTGATTGTTAGAATATCAGTTGTGAGTTGTCCCACATCGTTTATACATGAAAAATAGACCTAACTTATAAGCCTAGTGGGGTACTCCTCCTTCCACCAATTGATTTTGAGATGGAACCTCACTTGGGCTTCATTTTAGTTTTCTCTGTTATGGTGCGCTTCACTTGCGTGGGACCGCACCCCCTTCACTTGAGTTGGTTTTATGTGGGACAGTGCGATGACGTACCTGTTTTTCCCCACGTACCCGTTTATGGGATCCTGTTTCTTGTAGGGCTTGGGGAACTCGGCTCTGTATATAGGCTTGGGCTTTCTTATTAACGACTCACAAGTGAGGGGGTGTGTTAGAATATCACTTGTGAGTTGTCCCACATCATTCATATATGAAAAATAGACCTAACTTATAAGTCTAGTGGGCTACTCCTCATTCCACCAATTGGTTTTGGGATGGAACATCACTTGGGCTTCATCTGGGCTTTCCCTGTTATGGTGCACTTCACTTGCGTGGGACGTGCCGTTTTCCACCGGTTTCTTACAGAGATCAACAAATGACGCCTACACATCTAAATACATTTATCCAAACACTAAAAATGTGACCAGATCTGCTACGGGACAAGAGTTGGAGCTAGATCTAACCCAAAAACGACATTGAAAATGAGGGGGAGATTTAGCAACATCAAAATCACCTTCTCCGGTCGGCTTCCGGACAAAGACGTCATTGTCGATTCCAGCCAAAAGCCGGACGGGTGTGGCAAGAGGAGGAACCTAAGAGAGATAAGAACTTGTATATGAAATAGAATTATATAAATAAATAAAATGCATTTGAAGCAAAATGAAGTCTTTAAAATTCAAGATTATATCATACATCTAAAATGACTACTAAATTAAACTACATTTATTTTTTGTTTGTCAGCAAAGTATGACTATATACAACTCATCATAAATTGGGAGCTGCCCTAACCAACAATACTAGAGAAGTATGAGTTAATACTCTCCAATTGGGCAGCCATTGGTCCTGACAACATGATCTAAAAAAAGCAAACAGCCTGAAACCACTAAATTTGTCTAAGTTATGCCCCAAAATCATGAAAAAATAAAAGAGGAATTTACACCTCATACTATCAGATATGATTAATATTACACTTTTATCTCTATTATATTCTTAATTATAAAATTACTAAAAAAAATCATAAATATTACAATTATACCTAAAATAATTGTGTAACTGTTATTAATGAAATTTGGGCAAATTAAATGCAATTGATATCCGGTCAAAGATACCCTATCTATGCAAAAAAGTCGTTCATATAATTGAAGAGTTCTCCCTCGTGAGATTTGTTCTCTCTCTAGAGACCCTACTTCTATTCATTAGATTTAGCCGCCGCACCATCACCTTCTTCATCTCCATCGTCGGCGCCGGCGTACTTGGCCTCCCGTACACTTTCATGCGCACCGGATGTCTGACCAGCCTCGTCACCGTCTTCCTCGTCGCTGCCCTCACCTATCACTGCATGATATTCCTCATCCACACCCGTCGCAAGCTCGAGGACTCCGCCGCCTGCGCCTTCCCAAAGATCTCATCTTTCGGAGATCTAGGGTTGGCCGTCTGTGAGCCCATCGCCAAGTTCGTCGTCGATGCACTGATCGTCCTCTTTCAAGCCGGATTCTGCATCGGCATACCTCACCTTCAAAATTGGAGATTTTTTAGGAAAATTGGGATTGGGGGATTGGTGGGATGTGGCGTAGGCGTTTGGGATTTCCGGTGTCCATGAATTGAGGGAGAGTTGTTGGAGTTGTAATTTGAGGTAGGATGTGGAATCTTTGACTATTTTTTTTTTATTTTTCTTTTTTCTTTTGGTTTTATTATTGTTTCAATGTAGACGATATATTATTGATAGAGTTAGTTCATTGAAACGAGTCTTACTCGTTGGTTAAGAGTGTTATATGTACAGTATATGATGGGTATATGTACAGTATATGTTAAATATATATTTTTTTTCTATCTATTTTGACGAAAAACTTCTCAGAGGGTAATTACCGAACACTTGGTGTGCTTAATTTGTTGATAGATAGTTCTATCATGTACATATTGCGGGTATATGTTGTGGGTATATATAGTATATTTTCAGGATATTTTTCGATATGACAATATGTATATTTCGAGTATGAAAATTCTGTACATGATTTACATGTTACCATCAGATATGAAAATTTACACGTTGCGGGTATATACCAAAGTTGTACAACACACATATACATAGAATATACATAGAATATACATAAAATATGCATAAAATACACACTCGAGATTCACGTAACTCAAATCCGCGACACCACATATACATAAAATATACTTTAAATATACACTCGAGTTTCAATCCTTTCTCAAAATCGATTTTAGAACCCACATATACATAAAATATACCTAAGATATACACTCGAGATCACGTAAAAATTCTGAATGAAGACCGTCGGAAAATTCTGCTCGCCGGCGTGTGTTTCTTTCTTTTGTCCTGTCCGTATCTGTCAATATTATGAATTGAAATTCAAATATGATATCCTTCCATCTTGAGAGCTGAAATTATGGGCTAGAAACATGGAAAGGTTGTTCCATATCATGTAACTGATTTAGGCATGACTTTAATTAATTTTTATTTTTTAGGTATAAACACAATTTAATTGGTTAGAGTGATAAATGTGCAATTATTTTAAAAAACGTGCAGTATAGGTGCAAATCTCCCAAAATAAAATCATCAATGGCATTTCCTCTATCATTGTCAAGAGCCCACTATAAAAGTTTGTTCATCTTTCCTTGTAAGATATTTCCAATAAAAAATTAATTTCATCAGATGACCAATGAGTTAAGCTAAAGTCTACTGATTATCGCATTACTTACTACTATTCACAGCAAAAGTGATTTGTTGCTTCCTCTATAATTTTTTCAAATCATCCTATTTATACGTAATTCTTGTCAGTAATCACACACAAATTCCACATTCGGTCATCATGTTGAAAAAAATGTTTAATGATGGGCTTTCTTTGGGTTTTCTCTTACTTAGTCTTGTCTTTACAAGTGTTTTTGCTGAAAATGGGAATGTAAGAAAGTCAACACTTCTGTAATCTTTTATATTGTAATTTTTACCGTACTTCCGTGCGATAATTAAATTCTGTTATCTGGCAGGACTTTTACATTGTTTTCTTGAGAGATCAGACTACGAATGAGAGACAGACACTTGTCGAGACGCATCTGAATATCCTTTCATCTTTGAAAGGAAGGTAAGATTGTTCACGGACTCCTATTCTTCGCTCATGCAATGATTAAGCTTTTCCTTGTTTTCACTTTTGCTCGTGATTAACCATGATAAATGAACTGAGTGTTAAGTCGTTATCAAGCAACTACAGTATATGTAGATAAGTCAAAGGAGTAAATTAGAAATACTTCAGTAAAGTTTATAAAGTATCATAACAGTCAACAATCTACTTGAGGGAGGAAAAAGGTAGGAAAATTGTCAATGATACAAATAAAATGGATGCTTTTTTCTAGTAATTCATCTAAACCTGAAAGTTGTTTTTGGCTTCAGTGAAGATGCTGCTGCAGAGGCTCTTGCTTATAGCTACACGAAAAGTTTCAATGCATTTGCAGCAAAGCTTTCCGAAGATGAAGCCACAAAGCTATCAAGTATGTTGGGCCTCGTGATCTGTTTTTTCTTGAACACACCACATTAATAACAATCTAATCATAGAAGCTCATCTAAAGTTTTTGAAATTATAATTTACACTATTGGTACTTATTTCTATTTAACAATTCCACCTGGAAATTATGTTAACATTACGAGCCTAACAGGGTATCCGCAACAATTTAACAGCATTTGTACTTAGAAAATGGACTATTTATTATGAAAATACATTCCAGGTATGGATAAAGTTGCCTCCGTTTTCCGAAACCGATACCGGGAACTACACACGACAAGATCATGGGATTTCCTCCGACTAACTCAAAATTCAAAGAGGAATTTACAAGTTGAGAGCGACATCATAGTTGGAATGATCGACACAGGTACATTCATTCATTAGTGTGAAATACTTTGCTTGACGATAAATCTCATTGCCCTTGTATAACACCAAGGGCCATTCCTTTTTACCAATCTTTTACGCATAATAGGCATTTCGCCCGACTCCAAGAGCTTTAATGACGACGGTTTCGGCCCTCCACCCAAAAAATGGAAAGGAAGTTGCCCCAAAGCCGCAAATTTCTCCGGATGCAACAAGTAAAAATCTCCATGCAATGCCAATTCTTGTTTTTAGTTTTTATCAAAAGCAATATCCTGATTTACAATTGCCACCAACTATTGAAGCAAACTCATCGGTGCAAAGTACTACAAGATAGACAAGCAGCCAGACCCTAGCGACATCCTGTCGCCAGTGGACGTTGTGGGCCACGGGACCCACACATCATCGACTGCGGCAGGGAGCGTGGTCAAGCAAGCTAGCCTTTTCGGAATTGGCGAGGGCACGGCCCGTGGGGCAGTGCCTGCGGCCCGCGTGGCAGCGTACAAGGTGTGTTGGGCCTCGGGCGCGTGCGCTGACATGGACTTGCTGGCGGCGTTTGACGATGCCATACACGACGGGGTCGATGTGATATCCCTTTCGATTGGGGGCTTCACGGGACCATATAATGAGGATGTCATATCTATTGGGGCCTTCCGGGCCTCGAGCAAAGGGATCCTTACTGTGGCCTCAGCGGGGAACTCTGGGCCGGACCAAGGCTCTGTCACGAACCACGCACCCTGGATCCTGACAGTGGCGGCCAATGGCATCGACCGCCAGTTTAGGAGTAGGGTTGTGTTGGGTGACGGGGCCACGTTGTCGGTAGGTCGTTTAATTTTATGAATGTGTTCGATTTATTTTTATTTTTATTTTTATTTTATTTTTTTTGCGCTTTTTTGGCTCAAGTGGTATGAATGAGGAATGTGTGTAGGGAATTGGAATTAACCCAATTGAGCCAAAGCAAGACTTTTATCCTCTGGCAAGTGGGGCTGATGTGGCCAGTGACTCTGATAATAAGGAATCTGCGAGGTACTCAGATTTGTCATTCATATGGCTTCGACACTTTGGGAAATATTTTGAAACAAGAGATTGGAAAAAAAAAATTGTAAAAAAATTTAATTCCTTTGACTTAGGTGTATGTCTTGTTTCATGTGACAATTTAGGTCATGTTATGAAGATTCAATGGATCCTAAGAAGGTGAAAGGGAAGTTCATATACTGCTACGAGGGCACTAGTCGGGCGGATTCTATCATCAAAGGTCTCGGGGGCATTGGCGCCATAATTGAGGGTGACATCTTTTCTGATACAGGATTTGTGTACATGGCTCCAACAACCGTCGTTAATTCCTCTGTGGGGAAAACAATTGAGGACTACATCAATTCCACAAAGTAGAGACTATTTCTACTTCTGTTAACCTTATCTTCATACCTATCTTCATACATCATGAATCTCTCCAAATAATAAATCAGCTCTAGACCTTAACCTTCACAACTTATGATAACTGCAGAAAACCGTCCGCAGTCGTACACAAAACTGAGGAATTCAAAATCCGTGCACCTGTTGTTGCTTCATTTTCCTCAAGGGGTCCAAACCCTGGATCCCAACACCTTCTCAAGGTATCAATTGCAACTTACAACCATTTTTAACTGCAAAATTTCTATAATTCTAGTGCAAAATATCACTAGCCCAATTTGGTTCTGATTTTTTGACAATGAAACACGACCAACAGCCTGATATTACGGCCCCAGGGATCGACATCCTAGCGGCTTACACTCCTTTGAAGACTATAACAGGAAAAGAAGGCGACAAACTACACTCCAAATTCATCGTTTTATCTGGCACCTCAATGTCCTGCCCGCACGTCTCAGGAGCTGCTGCCTATGTGAAATCTTTTCACCCCGATTGGTCACCCGCGGCCATAAAATCAGCCCTTTTGACCACAGGTACTCGATAATTACACCTCTAATGAACAAATACTCAAAATTAAATAAATAATTTAATTAGAATTCGAAATCATTCTGTCATGTTTTTCTCAATAGCGAGACCAATGAGCTCGAGGGTGGAGAAGGATGCCGAATTCGCGTACGGGACAGGCCAAGTTTACCCAACTAGGGCTATAAACCCTGGGCTGATCTACGACATGGATGACATGTCGTATATTCAATTTCTCTGCAACGAAAACTATAGTGGGTCAGCAATTGGTACCTTAACCGGGCGCGGGACGGTGGATTGTTCCAAATTGGTGCCGGCGAGCCCAGAAGATGCCCTTAACTACCCGACAATGCAGCTCGCGTTGAAAACCGATCAAGAGCCGACCGTGGCCGTTTTCCAGAGGACCGTCACGAATGTGGGCCCTCCAAGCTCGGTTTACAATGCCACAATCCTGGCCCCGAAAGGGGTGGTTATCACCGTGAAGCCCACGAAACTGTCGTTTTCTGGAGCCTTGCAGAAGAAGAGCTTCAAAGTTGTGGTGACGGCGAAGCCGATGTCGAATAGGAGGGCTATTGCATCGGGTTTTCTCACGTGGGAAAGCGCGAATATCCGTGTGAGGAGTCCAATTGTCGTTTTTAACCCGTTTGCAACTGAAGACGGGAATTCGGGAAGTGGTTATAATAATATGTAAATCAGTTAATGCATACAGTCTTAAGTATGTTTACTGTGCTAAGATAACACTACTAAGCTTAAATGCAATAGCTCATACCATGTTGGGAAAATAAAACTTTGCAATATGAATTTCAGTTCTTCCTGCACTTATATACAGGGAAAAATGCAAGTTTGTTACATCAGTTGTTTCCCATTATTTGTAACTTCAAACTTGTTTTTCCAATTTCGTCCAATAGTATTTTATCATTTCAATATTCCGTGATTTTAATTTTGTGTTAATTTTGTCTAATCTTTATTTTTTTGTNGGACTCTCTTAGCATATCTAACCGTCGATTCTGTTTAAATTTTAGGAAGATTCTTGTAATGCCCCATTTATTTGTGGATTAATTGAAAATATTTATTATTATTATTATTATTATAATTGATTATTATTATTATTCTGTAATTATTAATATTATTGCAATTATTGAATGTCTAAATATTATATGTCTAATTGTCAATTAATTGTTAATTTTATATTTTGATTATTGATATTATTATTTTAATACAATGTGTAAATAATTATCCGAGTTGTATTTATTTAATTGTGCGGTTTAAATCGAGCCGGGAGTTGAATTATTATCTCGAACCCGCACGCGAACCGGCCTAGCTGAACCGAACCGGCCCGTGAGCCGTTAACCTGCCCAAGACCCGTTTTCTCTAATCCATGTGTTAGTGTGCGTGTGAAATTTTTCTTGGGATCCAAGAAAGTCAAACCTAGCTTGTATACATATAAAATCGTGTATCTATCTCCTTCTCTGTTTTCCTTCCAAACGCGCAGCCTTTTTCTCTCTCGCCGATCTCACACATAGAAGAAAATCTCTCGTCCCATTTCAGCAGATTAATCGCTCGCCTCTATCTCTTCACTCATATCGCCGCAGTCATCAATCGCATCCCCTCTCAAATCTGTCCCTCACAACAGATCGCTATCCCTCGCCATCTCTCTTGCTCGAAATCGACCATCCCCCTCCGTTTACCATCGTCCTTCTCTGCTCTCCTCCGCCGCAACCAGAAACAAGCCGACGACCTTCACCTGCGAACCAGCGAGTTCCTCTGCTCGCAGCAACCCCGCGACGAGCATCTCCGCCTGTAAGATTCTCCCCGCCGGCGACCCTCTGTCTTCCTCCGCGAGCCCTCCACAGCAATTCCGACGACCTTTCCTTCAGCCACTGTCGAGACGAGGCTAGCCTCCGCCGTGAGTTCTCCACTCGCAGCCAATCGTCGTCCAACCTCAGACTCTCGCGATCTCTTCCCGGCGAGCTCTTCTCCTCCGCCCGACCAACCTCTGCACAGGCCCTTCTGGCGAACAACCCCAGCAGCGACGCCACAAACAGCCGCCCCTGCGACTTCTCCTCAGCCGCTGCAACTCCAACCGCCGCCGCTGCTCTCCCACGTGCCGCCACAAACCAGCAGGAGCCCCGACGAGATCGCCTTCGTCCATTGCAGCAACTCAGCAGCCGAGAACGTCAGTCGCTGCCCTCCTTTTTCCAGCAAGACGCATGAAGCCGTCGAGCCCGTCGTCCTGTCAATCCGTTTGAACCATTCTCGCGCTTCCCGAGAACGGTATTGAGCATTGACCCTTCGTTGATTAAAATTGTGTTCTTTTAATGCAATAATCGTGCTTTACGAATTCATGTGTTCTTTGATGTTGATTTTACATGAAATTATTGTGATGTTGTATATCTCGAAAAGAACTCACCAAATGTGCTATGTATTTACTTGTGGCTCGTTTGATTGTCTTTCATTTGTGATTTTGTGAACTTGAATATATGGTTTGATCGAGTCTAGGTCCTAGAGTTCCCATATCCACAGAACTTCACGAACCACTTGGTCGAACCAAGTTCGGCTAAGTCAATTTGTGAATTTTCTACTTAGGTCTAGATTAAAGTGTTGACTTTAGTATCTGGACTTAATGTAGGTGTCTAGAGGTGTTGACCTCGCCTCATTTCGAGATTTGTGACTTTGAACTGTTGCTGCAATCAGGTGGGTACATTTATGATGTATTCCATATTTATCGCACTCATTATTTCGTGTAATGTTTTCTTTTGAAAATTATTGTATGCATGAGAACTCTAGTCTAAGTGTCCCGAACGATAGTGCCTTTGACGAATGCATGCTCGTTGTATCCGGGAGGAGACGCCCTGATCCGTGTGTGTTTCGGGGGGGAAAAACATCTCCACTGTCTCCTAGAAAACATCCATGATCCGTGAGTAGTTCGGGGTGGACTCCCATGATCCGTGAGTAGTTCGGGGTGGGGGAAATTTTCCAGTTACGGCCTTACCGATGTTTGGTCGGAAGGTTGTTGTATGTACATAGGAGGTTTGCGAAAGGACCGGGTAGGGGGTTTAGGCTATGAATTCTATGCATACCGATATTAATACTGTTCACTGCGATTACTTGTTTTTATAAATAATTAAACGGGATAACTGTGTGATAATGGTATTCCCTTCGATGAGGGCGAAAATTCTCCACGGCAAGTATGATTCCTTCGAAGCAAGGACAGATTCTCTTGTATAAGAGAGCCACTGGAATTCTAAAGCTTCCTTTAACCTTTATCCTCTCTCCTTCTCTTGCTATCACTCTTTTGTAGACTATTGTAGTAGTTTTTCCTTTTAGAGTTTCCTGATTTTGCTTTCTGTGATTCCTAGGTCTTTCTAATTCTGGAGATTAGAGCGGCCCCGAATTCATCCTCAATATTGCCGTGAATCAGTGTTCATGATGGAGGAAGAAGACCTACTCCGAAAGATGGAAAATGTTCACTTATCGGAAAAAGAGGCAAACATCATTCCGATAATGACTGAAGATATTAACATCAGTAAGGAAGCTTGCAACCGTAGCATCTTTGGCAAAGTAATTGGACAGAGAAGAGTTCATCTAATTGGATTAAAGCGAGCCCTAAACCAGATATGGCAAATCCAAGATCAGATGGCAATCAGAGAGTTAAGCCACAACTACTTCCAATTCATATTCAACAATCGAGATGACAAATTGAAAGTCCTAAAAGGTACTAACTGGCTCTTTGACAACCAATACCTAATTCTAAAGGACTGGTCGGAGGACATCAATAGTCAACACACTTGTTTCAAAGAGCTAGACATCTGGGTGCAAGCATGGAATCTGCCCATTCACTGGACATCCACAGAAGTTGGCCTTAAATTAGGCAGAACCTTCAAGAGGGTGAAAAATGTGGTCATCCCGCAAAATGGGCCATTAGCAGGAAAGTGCCTCAGAATGCTTGTCACAATCGATCTTGATCAACCGATTCTCAGGTATGCCCGCCTCCAGCTAGAAGAAAAAACCATACTTGTTGAATTCAAATATGAGAGGTTAGTAAACCTGTGCTTCTACTGCGGCCTCATCGGCCATCTGGACAAAGCTTGTGACAAAAGAGTTCAAGATATGGACACAGGAAATCTCAGAGAGAGATCATTTGGAGATTGACTTAAAGCCCAAGAACCAGTTCCTTATCAAGGCTCCTACAACCAAAACACCTCTCACTCTGACTCCCCCACCCATAATAATACACCTAAATCTCCTTCAGGCCCTATCCAAACTCTGGCTAACCTCACACCCATCTCTCAGAAACATTCTCCCTCACCCCAACATTCCAATGAAAACACCCCTCAAGCCACATCCCAAAATCCAGTACAACCTGATAAACAAATACCCAGCTCCACTGAAAACTCCATCACACCCCCATCCAAATCCATCACGCCTTTTGTTAACCCCTCTCAGACCCTTATACCCCAAATTCCTATGGACACTGATGTTCAACAAATAGCAGCAACCAATGAAACCCACCTCCTAATGCTTCCAGAACCCCAAGATAAATCATCCCCTCTACATTTTACCCCAACCCCTGAACCCAATGACCAACCTACCCCTAGCAAGAAATGGAAGAGAAAGCCCATTCCCAAAACACCCCCACCCCAACCAACACCAGCCAGATTAACCAGAACAAAAAGACAGCTAACCATCATGGAAACATCTTCCAATCCAGAGCTCAACCAAATACTTGAAATTGACCAAGGTAAGAAAAAGCAAAAAATTGAAGACTCTAGGGTAAAGGAGGCCAGCCCCAAATGGCCCCACCCTGACCAATGAAGACAACCCTGTGGAATTGTAGAGGCCTGGGTGGGGCCTCTACAATTTCCCAGCTCAAGGAGTCTTGGAAACTCCACCACCCCCTTTTTGCTTTTTTTTCTGAAACTCAAAAAAAAGAAAAATTTGTACATACCATATGTAAAAAAGTTAACCTTGGAGAATGCTGGTCTGCTGTAGACCCTTTTGGTAGGAGTGGAGGCCTTCTGCTCATATGGAACTCTGATGTCCATATCTTTCAAATCATCAAGACTGATTTTTGCATCCAAGTGGAATTCTGGGATGAGGAGAAGAACATCACTTGCTGGGGTACCTTTGTCTATGCTAGTACCCATCCTCAAGTTAGAAAGGAACAATGGCAATATCTTCTGGAAGCTCAACAAAAGTGGGGTGATTACTGGTTTGTAGGGGGTGACTGGAATGAGATCACATGCCCAGAAGAGAAAAAAGGGGGAACTACTAGACCACTATCATCATTCCGAGGATTCAACACATTCATGTCACTGATGGGTATGCATGAAATTGAGCTCAAAGGCCACAAATTCACATGGGCAAACAACAGACAAGGAGAAGGGTTTGTAGAAGAACAATTGGACAGAATTTTCTGCTCACTGGGATGGCTAACTCTATACCCAAACTCCATAGTCCTCAATGAATTCAAGTCATCATCTGACCATGGCCTACTCTGCCTCAACTCCAATCCAGAGACCAAACCACAAAAGAAAAGATTTTTCTTTGATCAAAGGTGGCTCAAGAGAGAAGGTGTGTCTGAAGTAGTTTCTGCTTCTTGGAACTGTTATCAATCAGGAACACCAATGTTTTGCTTCCAAGAAAAAATCAAAGGGGTCAGACTAAACCTCCTCAAGTGGAGCTGCAAATTCAAATCTGAAAATGCTATGGCAATTGAATCCCTCCACAGACAGCTGGCTGAGCTTAGATGGGAAGGAGGACTTAGAGACTGGAAAAAATGGGACTCAATTCAGAAAGAGCTCAATGACCTCTACAATATGGAAGAACAATACTGGAAACAAAAGTCCAGGATTACATGGCTCCATCAGGGAGACAAAAACTCCCGGTTTTTCCATGCTCACACATCTCACAGAAGGAAGAGAAACAAAATCACTAGATTGATCAAGGAAGACTCATCAGTTTGTGACACACCAGATGAAATTGCAAAGTGTCTTGAGGAGTTCTACCATGCCCTTTTTTCATCACAAGGTCCATCATATGCAGACCCAGTTCTTAATGAAATTGTTCCAGTGATCACTGAATCCATGAACACTGATCTCATAGCTGCAGTTGAAGAGGATGAAATTAAAGCTGCTCTCTTCTCCATTTCCCCTCACAAGGCCCCTGGCCAAGATGGTATGACTTCTCTGTTTTTTCAGCACTTTTGGTCCCTCATTAAAAATGATCTCTGTGCTCTGGTTCTCAGTTTTTTTCAATCAGGTAAAATGCTTAAAAGTATTAACCACACTTTAATTACTTTGATCCCTAAAGTTCAGAAACCTGACATGATTTCCCAGTTCAGGCCCATCAGCCTTTGCAGTGTCACTTATAAGGTCATTTCTAAAATTTTGTCCACCAGACTTAAACCAACCCTTCCCCTCTGCATTAATGATGCCCAATCAGCTTTCATATCAAATAGGCAGATTCTTGACAATGTCATTCTTGCTCATGAGATTATCCATTTTCTTAATAACCATAGATCAGGTCAGTCCTATTATATGTCCATCAAGCTGGACATGTCAAAGGCTTTTGACAGAGTGGAATGGTCCAGTGTGAAAAACATCATGATCAAATTAGAATTCCATGAATCTTTTGTGAAATGGACTCTGGCCTGCTTAAATTCAGCTTCTTTCTCTTTTAATGTGAATGGCAATGTCTGTGGTTATGTGATTCCTACTAGAGGAATAAGACAAGGAGACCCTTTGTCCCCATACATATTTTTATTGGTCTCTCAAATCCTGTCAATTATCATTAACAGCTTGTCTTCCTCAGGTCACTACAAGGGAATCAAAATTTGCAGAAATAGCCCTACCCTTACCCATCTCATGTTTGCAGATGACACACTCCTCCTATCCAAAGCTGACTCAAACCAAGCTCACCTCATTCTCCGAATCCTTAGCCAATACAATGCTATCACTGGGCAATGTGTCAACCTCCAAAAATCCTCAATCTTTTTCAGTAAAAATACCCCCCAGAACCTCAAAAGCCAAATATGCAACATCCTCATGGGCATTCAACCTCAAACCTCCTCCAAATACCTTGGCCTCCCCCTGGGCATTGGGAAATCCAAAGTGGAGACATTCTCTTACATTGAAGAAGCTGTTAATAATAAGCTTTCAAAATGGCAAAATTCTTTCCTTTCTCTTGCAGGAAAAGAAATTTTGCTCAAAGCAGTCTTGGAAGCCTTACCCATTTATGCTATGTCATGCTTCATTTTGCCTAAGGCCATCTGTGACAAAATAGCAAAGCACTTTGCTAATTTCTGGTGGAGAAGCAAGAAGGAGGGTACCAAGGGTATTCACTGGAAAACTTGGAGTCATATCACATTGCCAAAAGACAAGGGTGGCTTGGGATTCCATGATATCCATCTTATGAACCAAGCACTGATTGTCAAACAGCTATGGAGACTCCACAACTGTCCAGACCTTTTGGTTAGCAAAATTCTCAAAGCCAAATACTACCCCTCATCCTCTTTACTCTCTGCAAAGAAACAAGGAAATGCATCATGGCTTTGGGCCAGCTGGAGGAAAACATTATCCTTTTTCAATCAGAATGTGATATTCAAGGTGAACAATGGAGCACGGATCAATATCTGGCAACATCCTTGGATTCCATCTCAGGCAAACCATAAACCTTCACCTCTGAACCCTTGGAATGGCATAATTCACTGGGTACAAGAACTCATTGATGAGACAGGGAGAAATTGGAATGTAGAGATGGTCAAGCAATGTTTTCCACCTGATGAAAGCTCAGCTATTCTCAACATCAAAGGGTTAGACCCTCTCAGCAATGACAGTCTTAAATGGCAGCATATCAAATCTGGAAGTATGACTGTAGCTGATGTGTACAAAAAACTGGTGGAAGAAAAATGGCTCAAACTTGATGTTCCTGAAGGTAGCAATATGGGTAGAGAACTTAAGCAAGCTAGAGACAGAATTTGGTCCCTCAAGGTAGCAGGAAAGCTGCAGCACTTCATATGGAAATGCTTCACTAACTCACTTCCAGTAAGTAATGCCCTCCAAAAGAGACTCCAAGCCTTTGATCCCATTTGCAAGCTTTGTGGTGTTGAACAGAAACCATAGAACACCTGCTATTTCACTGTGCAAAAACTCAGACTGTTTGGAAGCTGGCAATCATAAATTGGGATGGCTTGGATGAGTGCAGAAACAACTTCAAGCAATGGTGGATTAAGCTCAGCTCACTAAAGAAAAGCCCCATGGCTGACAGGAGAGTTCAGATCACTGTATATCTCCTTTGGTGGATTTGGAAAGCTCGAAATCTTTGGGTTTTTCAAAACTACTGGCTTTCTGAGTACAATATAGTGCATTCAGCCTCTTCAGCATGGATGGAATTTTGCAATGCCCAGCTCCCTTAGTTAGAATGCTTTCTAGTTCCTTTTGGGTTCTTTTAGTTTTTTCTAATGCTTTTGTTCCTCCTTGTGTTGTATTAGCTGTTGGATTATGCTGTCTCTTGTTCCTTGTAGTGATGCTCCTGCTAGGTACTTGTTTCAGTGGTAGGAGTATCTTTTGCCATGTGTTATTTCGGTTAGTAGCACAGCCATTGCAAGCCCCCAATCTCAGTCTCCTTAGCTTCAGCCTAAGCTAAGATTGGAGCTATGTAATGGTCATTTGGTTAGCTTTTGTTATTTAGGGCACCTGAGGGGTGCTCCTTGTATTCCTACTTGTGTTAGGCTTTTGTAAACTTTGTACATTCTCTTCTGAGTTATAAAATCTATCGTGTTGAAAAAAAAAAAAAACTGTGTGATAATGGTGAGCTTGTTGGATGCTCACCCCCACTATTTTCTTGTTGTTCTTTCTCTCCCTTTGTTCTAGGTTGAGACGAGCTGGAGGCGGTGGCGTAGGACGAGCGAGATGGTGGTCAATATGTGATGATGTCTTATGCTTCTGCATGAACTTGCTATTTATTTATTTGCTATTGTACTTCGGATTATTTATTTCTTCATTTTCGAACTATGTTGAATTTTCGTTTGAACCGTGATTTCATGCTAGTCGTTTGGGAATGATTTTGAGATTTATGATTTATGAGATTGTTATTTTGATAGCTCGAGCATGTGTAGGTTCATTGGATTGATTGATTAGGTGTGTTTATTTGTTGTGGTTAGTAAGTAGCGTCAGTTTCTCGATAAATGTCCTGCCCGCACGTCTCAGGAGCTGCTGCCTATGTGAAATCTTTTCACCCCGATTGGTCACCCGCGGCCATAAAATCAGCCCTTTTGACCACAGGTACTCGATAATTACACCTCTAATGAACAAATACTCAAAATTAAATAAATAATTTAATTAGAGTTCGAAATCATTCTGTCATGTTTTTCTCAATAGCGAGACCAATGAGCTCGAGGGTGGACAAGGATGCCGAATTCGCGTACGGGACAGGCCAAGTTTACCCAACTAGGGTATAAACCCTGGGCTGATCTACGACATGGATGACATGTCGTATATTCAATTTCTCTGCAACGAAAACTATAGTGGGTCAGCAATTGGTACCTTAACCGGGCGCGGGACGGTGGATTGTTCCAAATTGGTGCCGGCGAGCCCAGAAGATGCCCTCAACTACCCGACAATGCAGCTCACGTTGAAAACCGATCAAGAGCCGACCGTGGCCGTTTTCCAGAGGACCGTCACGAATGTGGGCCCTCCATGCTCGGTTTACAATGCCAGAATCCTGGCCCCGAAAGGGGTTGTTATCACCGTGAAGCCCACGAAACTGTCGTTTTCTGGGGCCTTGCAGAAGAAGAGCTTCAAAGTTGTGGTGACGGCGAAGCCGATGTCGAATAGGAGGGCTATTGCATCGGGTTTTCTCACGTGGGAAAGCGCGAATATCCGTGTGAGGAGTCCAATTGTCGTTTTTAACCCGTTTGCAACTGAAGACGGGAATTCGGGAAGTGGTTATAATAATATGTAAATCAGTTAATGCATACAGTCTTAAGTATGTTTACTGTGCTAAGATAACACTACTAAGTTTAAATGCAATAGCTCATACCATGTTGGTAAAATAAAACTTTGCAATATGAATTTCAGTTCTTCCTGCACTTATATACAGGGAAAAATGCAAGTTTGTTACAGCAGTTGTTTCCCATTATTTGTAACTTCAAACTTGTTTTTCCAATTTCGTCCAATCTATATATATATACTTGCTAGCTAAGGAATAAATTTTACCTAATAAATAAAACCTAATAAATTTTACCTATGTGGCAAATCATTAATAAAACCTAATAAATTTTATTTATGTGGCATCAATACAACCAATCTCATGAATAAGAAAAATATTTCATTACATTTATTGGGTTAATTAAGACAAAAACCATTATATTTTATGTTAATTGATTAATAATTATATTTTTTGTTGAATAATATAATAGTTAATAATAAAATTAGTAATTATATTTTATACTAAATAATATATGAAAGCTACATAAAATTATATTTTACACTAAAATCAATATCTTTTTATATGATGAAGATGATGTTTATTAATAAATTAATTTTTTTTATGTCATAGTAAAATTTCTTAAAATCACATAAGCAATTGTTATAATAAATGTAATATTTTTCAGCTAATTAATTGGTCATGATCACTCAAAATTATAAAAAGTATATATTTATTGCATTTTATGCAATCAATATAGTGATTCGTATACAATCAAATCGTGTGGACTATTTATTTTAACTAATGATCAAATTTTAAAATATAATACTATTATATAATTTATAATTTTAATATTATATACATAAATATAACTTATAATC